TCCTTATTAGAATCTAAATAGATACGGGGGATAAACGCTACCTTATTAGCGTATATTCCGGATAGCATCTTAACCTCTAGCGTATTACGCGCTATCCGTAAAATAACTATACGCGTGCCGTTATATAATCCCTGCCGCGGGCTAAGGTTCCGTATAAGTATAACGGGCACGCTGACCTTTAGCTTAAGCCGCGCGGGCGGGATAAAGGCGAACTCTAACTATATCAAAAACTCCGGTGCTAGTTCCGGCGTAGGACTGTTAGTATCTTCTGCCCGATTAGCCACCGAATTCTTAGCCCGGTAAATATACGACTAGCTAGGTAATCGCCCGAGTATCTACCCGTTAATCTCCGTGATAGTAGTATTACGTATTATTAGAATAACGTGGTTAACGAAGACTATATAGTCTAATAGGGCCTACTCTAGTAAGGTAGTCGGGTAAATACGCCCGTATAAATAGATAATATTATAAATAACTATAATAGTAGGGAAAAGGTCGATTAACCCGTGAAACGCGGTATTATAGGAGAGGTCCCGTAACTACTAAATAAACGCCCGATTATCAGGATCGGCAGAGGTAATCCGTATATTCTCTATTAGGCAAAGAATACTAAGTTACGGCTATATAAAGGACCTCTAGAAGTAGGCGTGTATAATCTACGCCCGACTACTATTACGAATAACGGGCAGGATTTAGGTAAAATCGCCCCCGAAGATAACCGGAATACCGCTAAAAAGGTAATCGTTATAGCTTAGTATATCCCGTAACGTACGATTAACGGCCTCGAAACAGAACTTATACTATATAGGAACCTTGTCCTAGATAATAAAAACCGTCTCCCGTAGTAACGCTATAAGGTCCGAATTCTTTACCACGCTATAGGTCGAGGCGTTATTAACCTATAAGGGGATCTTAAACCGCGAATAGGCTATATAGCTACCCTTAAAAAGAACGGCCGTGATACTAGAGGACGCTACGTAGAGTATAATCTGCCCGCGTGACCGGAAATACGCGTAGAGACCGCGGTATATAAACGTCTTCCTTATACTGCCGGGGCCCTGTAAAAAGAAACGGGCGCCGCGGCTACGAGATTTAATAGCAGCTATAACCTAGCTAAATACCGTAGCCTAGCTTTAGTTAAACCGGCGGTGGATATCTTTATATACCGTAGCCTAGGTATCGCGATTATAAGTCTCCGTAATAAATAATATATTACTGGTTATATAGCGCTAGTCGTGTAAAGGCGCGGGCAGCCTAAACTCCGTAATAGTCCTACTTACCTTAAGGAGTCGAGAGTATATAAGATAAAGACCGTAATCGATATACGAGCGTTTTAGATTAGTAGGATATCAGAAGTATTAGCGCTATAACGTGTAAAGCAGGTTATCGTATATAGACTCCGTAAACCTTTCCTAGATTAATACTAGACCGGAAACGTCTCCGTGGATTAGAGCGACGATAAATAGCTCCCGTAACACACGCCCGGTCTTCTAAATAACGGCCTCCTTAAAATAGGTAACCTAGTAATGGTTATCGTGCAGAAGCCCGGCCGTAACGCAGGCCTCGCGGTAGGTATTATATATAGTCCCCTCCACGGTACGAAGGTCGGTAAAGGAAGTCGGCCCTCTAATGGAGACTAAGAGTAACCGTAAATAGTACGTCTTTTTAGCTATTAGGGGTATATACCGTAAATAGCCGATTTAAAATCCACGCTGCCTTAGCTACTAAGTAAACTACTACGGTTTCCACGTATAACGGCTAGGAAACTAGTAATAGAATAACTCGCGGCTATTAGCGTTATCACAGTTATAGTCGAAAAAGGCTATTAGCTAAGTTTTCTGCTCCTATAATATACGCTTAATCTAGCTTACGGTTACGTTATCGCCGAAGTATATAGGCTACTATCCCTTAAGGTAAACCGGAAAACGTATAACGGACGGATACTTATAGTGTATAGGGAACTCGAATAACTAAATAATAGCCTCCGCGGGACTAATATAGCGACTCTAGAGATAGATATTAACCTTATCCTCGCCCTCTTCGCTTAATATATGTGTAGTCGTGCGGTCGGTGCCTTTATAAACGTACTTATAGACGTACTTAATCGTCTAAATAGATCCGTAAAAGATAATATTAGTATATACGCCGTAACGGAGGCAGATATACAGAAGAAGATAACTTACCTTAATAAATCCGTAAATTTTAACGTCAATATAGGCACCGTAGCGGAGGCAGAGATACGGGCTATAAGGAATAATAAAATAGTTATTAAAGGGGACCTCTCCTATACGGCCTCTCTTTATAATATATAGGCTAGAGTTATAGCGTCTATATTCGGGATAACTATCCTCCCGTATAGTCGTTTTTAGGTAGTACGGCTTAGGAAACCGCTTAGAGTACTTTATACGGTTCTCGTCGCTAGGCTACGGCTATATACACGGCGTAGAAGGCTTATTATCACCGTAAGGACTATATATTATATTCTTACTAATAATATTAAAAAGACGGCTAATAGGATCCGACTCGCGGTCTAGTAGCTCCGTAGAGATAACCTTATTAATAGTTACGGGGTCCTTATATATCTCGGCCGCCCGCGGCGTAAGGAAAAGAAGGATACAACGATATAGAAGACCGCGCTTTTAGTATTCCACGGTCTATATAATCCCCGTAAACTCACTAAATAGACTATCGCGTAGCTACTATTCTAGGTCGCGGGACTTTAACTCGAATACCCGGCCGACTAAATCGGGCCGGTTACCAGTAGTCTAACCTGGCTAAAGCTCCCGTATAATCTTTAGCCAGGTAGGATTAGCCGTAAAGATAATAAAAAAAGTCGGAGTACTAAGAGCCCGTATAATTACTATAGAATCCTGATAGCACTACGAGATAAACCGCTAGCCGCTAATATAATTTAATAGTAAAACGATCCGTCGGATAATACTACGGGTATCGCCGTTAGCCTTATACGCCTAATCCCGTAAGCCGTTATATACATTAGCCCGTAACTTATTCTAGTAGTGCTAGATCTATAAAAGCTTCTTCTAATCGTAGAATACCTATAGGTCCACTAAAAACTGCTAGAAAAGACGGCCGTAGGTAAAGGGCATAAACCTTTACTCGTATCGCGGGTATAGTATATAACGGCAGAATTAACAGAACTTTACCTCGGTATTCTGCCGTTAACGGTTATAAATATCCCGTAACTATAACTACTAGTAATATCCGGAACCGCCTCGCGGATATATAAGCGGGTAAGATGACGGTAGGTAGGTAGGATACTCGTAGTCTATCTGTCTAAGGCCGCTAACGCTACCATTAGACCGTCTCTCTACGATAATAATATCCCTATAGTAACGTTTACCCTACTTATCCGGTATAATAGCCGTAACCTTATCCGTAATAGACAGATTCTCGCGTCGTATATTAGCGCCCTACTTAATAACTAATTCTATACAGGGGTTAAGTATTATACGGCACTATTCGCGGAGGGAGTTAAAGCGTTCGCGGGCCGTTTTATATAGGTTAACGAAAGGGTTATACTTATACAGGAAGTCTAAAATCTCCCCTAGGATATAACGGTCTAGCGTGGAGTTAAGGCTTTAGGTATTTATAAGGCGGTAGTCGGCGGTAGCCTACGGATCGTAAAAGTATAGCTAGGTAAAGTCGGAGAGTCGGCCTATAGCACTTAATAGCCCCGTATAATAGTAAAGGGTACTATGGATCTGGAAAGCTATTATGCCACCGGTAGCGGTACCTTAACGGGTCTCCGTATATTATATAGAAGTAAACGTAAAGGTATTATTATATTAACGGATCCTCTTACGATAATCCGCGGCTTAGGTAGTATCCGCGTATAGTAGGCGTTAGAAGAAGTCGGGTAATAAGGAGATAATAGGAACGTCGACGTCGCCCTGGTTATAATAGATGCTAAATTTCGGGTTCGTAGGCGACGATTCCTAAGTAATAAAAGATAGTATCGGTTAGCTAATAGTTAATAACGGAGATAGAAAACTAACCTATAACTTCTCCCTAATCTAATAGAGTATAGCGTAATATTTATACTCTACCCGTATTAATCTAAGGTCGTAATAATTAACCGTAATACCCGGCTAATACTACCCAAGCGGCTTAGTACGCTCGACGTGGCGGTCGGGTTACGGGCGCGCTCTACACTAGCTAGTAGTAACGGCCGCCCTATAACGCGCTCTGCTATTACTATAGTCGTTATAGATATTATAGAGGGCACTATTTCGATAGGTACTAAAAGCAGCCGTTATAAGGTAATAGTTATAGGAAGAATAGTAATAACCCGCTATTAACTATAGAGCGTTACGGAGCTAGTTACGGCCACGGCTATAACGACGGCCACCCCTTCGGGGAGGAGGCGTAGGGGCAGGCTATAGTGGAGGGTGGCCGGTTAGAACGGGTAATAGAGGAGCCGTAAAACCTATAGGAGGTATAGGATAGGCGGCTCGACGGTTAGCTCTACAGGTAACACAGGTAGCGTAAATCCTTTGACGTGACCGCGGATAGAACCCGAACTCGGAAAACGGTTTAACGATACCGTAACTATAGCAGCGCTTAGGCTCGCGGTCGGATTAACTAACTATCTTAACTTTAGACGGCGTTAAAGCGATACGAATTACGGCGTAGATACGGCGTGGAAAAAAATCTACGGGGACTATAAAACTATATAAAATAGATATATAAAACAGGATAGTCTAAACGTCTAAACTATAGGCGATACGTATAGTTTTTATTACTATATATACCTAAAAACGGACTATAACCTATATATTCGAAAGTATATAGGAATACGGGTAGTATAGCTATATACTATAAGAGGAAGTCGCCCGTAAAATACCGTAAAAAGCCGTAATAGGGGCCCGGGCGGTAGTACTAGTACGAACGCCAGGCTGCTAAGAGTGCCGGACTTTAAAGTGGGCCAGCTTTAGTTTACACTTAGAAGCAATCAGCTGCCCCAATAATATCTTACTCCAGGGGGAATAGTGGAGTAGTACACTACCTGGACTAGCCTCTTAATCCCCAAGAGGTCGTAGGTTCGAATCCTGCTCCCCCTAACACTATTTTCGGATAGGTACGTACCTTAGGCAAAGGGGGCTAGTAGTAGCCCCTAAACCCCTGCTAAGTAGATAACCGATAGCCTGGGCACCTATCCTTATCGAGACAGCAGAATAGCCTAAAAAGGAAGGGGATTCCTTACTAAGCTACCACCGGTATAGGGTTATCATAAAGGGGGGAAGAAAGGTACGGGGGGCTACCAAGGCCCTTAGGTTTTTTTCGTAAGGTTTTTCCGAAAGGGAGGATTTACTGAAGTGTAGGGGTAGGGCGTACGTGGTATTTCCTAAGTAAATACTCCTAGTACTTTCCCTAACCCGAAAGTAGTAGTAGTGTGTCCTATACCTAGTTTATACCTTTCGGTACCTCTAAACAGTCTATTATAACTTTAGGGTTATATACGGACTTTAATAAACCTGAATTCAAAAAAAAAAATTCTTACTCTATACTAGCCGGTTCGCGGCGTGGCCGATAAGCGTTGGGTCGGGAATGACGGCACCGAAAATCCCCATAGGGTAGGTTATGTAACTCTGTAGGTAATTTTTCTGTATGTATACTAATTAACACCCTACGGCTGTGCGATGAGTTGCCTGCTGACGCACATTTTATGCCCCGACAATTCCGTGCCAAACGTGCTACCTATCCGCACTTGGACCGGGAGTTCTTTTTCTTGATTTTTTCCTTCCCTTTTTTTTTCTTTTTTCCCGTTTTCTTTCCTTTGTTTGCGGAAGAGTCGGCATTGCGGTTATAAGACGGAACCTGGCCAAGTTCACTTCCACAAGTGGAAATATTGAAACACTGGTCCAGAAATCCACAAGACCGGTTCTTTGGATGGCGTAATTTGAGATTAGGAAAAAGAAGAAGACGAACCGGCGCGGATGTGGACCGGACCCGAATACGGGGATGAGTAATCTTTCCGAGTTGTCTCTAACTCCCCTTTCTTCGGAATATGAATACACTAGAGCTGCTTTACTCGTGTTCTCTTCGGTGAGGACCGAAGCTCAAGAAGAGCTATTGGTCCCCGGATGCAGAAGATATCGTCTTGAAGGTAGGCGGTCGAATGAGTGTTACAGGTAATTCCAGTACAGCTCGGGGGTTCAGAACTTCGCGCCGTTGGGTGTATTTGCGTTTAATACCTTGCACCGAAAAAGGGTAGGTATGTAAACACAAAAACAAGTACATGTTTGAAATAACATTACTTGGTGGGATTGGGAATGAAGGCGCAAAATATGGGAGGATACCGTAATTATCAGAGACGCAGAAGATCCCCCAAGGGTCTAGGGAAATACATAAAAAAAGGTGGATCAGCGCCCAAACTACTGTAAACTTCGGGGATGATCCCGGACTTCGCTTGACCGGCAGCCAAGCCAGCCAAGAGTTGAAAATGGGGACAGAAAGCTTGTTACGAGAGAAGAGGGTCGGTGCTTTTGCCCATGAAAAAAACTCTTGGAATGTCTTGGCCTCGACATCACCCTCGATTGACGAGCGATGGCATGCAGGGATCTACCGCATTTACCGAGTCTACACCATTATGATATAATTAATAGCAACATAATGGAAAGGTTTGGACAGCGAAATATCATCAAAGATAGACCATAGGAGAAAAGCCTCAGAAAGAAGGTGCCAATAGGGTCGCCGACTTTTCATTATCGAGGGGGGAAGCATCGGGGGCTTTCATTACGAGAAATCGTGTTCTAGCCGGCTGACCGCCAGACCAGGTTGGTTTTTGTCGCAAGGCGGACCTGCCTTATTTCCCATCTCACGATGTTGTTTTCGACATCATATGAACCTCATAACGCGTCTGTTCTACAGCGAAGTTGAAGGTACGGGCCGTGTATGAAGTACAACCAGTAAATCGCGCACTGGTCCCGGCTGTGCCCGCAATACCATTCTCCATTCAGGCACAGAAACGGGTCCACATGGCCACATGGGCAACACGGTTGCGGGTAGAAGGTTCTGCATCCGGCCAGTCCAGCTCTCACCTTGCTGGGCATTGAACGCCGGGACGAGGCGAGAACCGGACAGAACTGCCCCCAAGGTCTTTCTTACTACGTTGTATACCAGTACATGTACCCACTCTCGGTGCCCCCTGCAGCCACATTTCCGGAGGTCCATGGGATAGTAAGGTGCTTCATCCAATCACGATCATGTGTTGAACGGATACACCTCGGGGTGATTGTAGAGGTGACTGAGTGGATACGTGGATCGTCAAGCGGAGACCCACACATCATCGACGAAAAAGGTCGTCCTTGACTTGACTTCTGGCTCACACACTTCGTACAACGTACGTGTTGTATTTCTGGGGCAAAATCCTCCTCCACCGAGCACCCTGCAGCTCGTTGCTCGCAGGAAATGCCGACCCGTATGCGCCGCACTGTGAGAGAAATGGGCCTGTATCCAATAGGAACAAGCGTGGACGTGACTGACGTGAATTCGCAAAACGGGAACCGGACGAGGGTTTTGATATCCCTTGTCATAAGCTCACGCTTGAAGCCTCGGACCTGTTTGGAGCTTTCTCGGGACCTGCTCGCCGTTGCCTCTTCCAGCGCCACATTCTTTCCCATGCGAGGAATCGCGTCCTTCGCATTTGACCCCAGTGTCACGATGGGTCTCCCGATGCTTGGATATGGACTGTCAGATGCTGCTGCGTGCGCTGGATGCAACCAAAGTACATTGCATTCCACACCCCCTTACCATACATAGCCCATGCAAGCAATCGAGGACACACCTACCGTACACCAGCAGTTAACTTGTCTATCCGCAAATGTCTAGTAGGAGGGGCATCCCGAGGACTGGCCGTCCGTTACGCAAAGTCCTGTTTGTGCACCCTCGCCATTGGTAATGTTTAGCTGTCGAAAACTCTCCGGAATCGGACTAAGTTTTCCCAGCTATGTACCTTACGTACTAAATAAAATACTGGCTTGAATCAGATAAAGAAGAGACAGAGAATTGAAGGGTGAACATGACTGGATAAACCCGACGTGTCGGTCGGCTTTGGTCCTGTCCATGTTTCCTATCTACACCCCCTGCTGTGAATCAGAAAGAGGTGTGTGCAGTATGGCTGGAGCTTGTTGATCCCCCACAGCCGGCATAAGTGTATGATGTACCATGTGTACCATGTATCATGTATGTGCCTAGGTCATGATACTGCGAAGAAGTTGGAGGTTATTCTGTTTCTCCGTTCTAGGGCCAGCTTCTTTCCCACACTCTACACTGACTAATGTAAGGGCCGTACACGGTCGACCGAGGCGGAAGTTACGGCAGTACCCAGATTTCTAGTATTCAGCTTGCTGCCTTTCGCGGCTTCCATGGCCCCGCTTCCTTAGAACTTTGTTTTCGTTTTAAAGGAGGGAAGCCGCCGCCCTTTTCCACCTCTCCGTCCTTTTTTTCTTCTCTTCACCCACGACGGCTTCGTTAGAGTCCTCTTTCGTCTACTCTTTCGTGCGGTGACTACCCTCCCCCTCCTCTCTTCTCTTTAATCCCTTTTCGCCTCGACCTCTTTTCTCTTCCTCCTGGAGGAGTACTTTCACCACACACTCTCCCCCCATATCGACGTCTATCACGTGTTCTCAGCCCTCTAATCGCTACACGTCGCGAGGCTTCTTCAGAGTCCAGAGAACAGACTCTCAAACCATATCCTACCCCGAGTGGACCAGCCACCTTTGGGATTGCGAGACTTGAGAGCGCACCATTGCGTTGCATTCCTCGATATATCAATAGAGAGCATCCAGCTCATCACCTCAGCCGAACAAGCTTGTTCGCTAGCCTTGGCCTTTGGACGTCAAGATCTCTAGACGAACTCATTTACTCGTCAACAGTCAAAACGACCTCGATTCTTTAATCGATATTGACTCACTGCACGTTGCCCCCAATAACCGACGATACATACGACTTTAAACCGGTTTTATATTTTACAATGGCGGAAAAGGATTCCGCTGCCACGCCGGCAGCAGACGCGCCCTTCCAATATCACGACGAGAAGGAGAAGATGGGCCCCTCGGACCACGAACCTGTTCACGGCAAACCCGAGCTAGGAGAACACGACGAGAACGACGAGGACATTGATGCCCTCATCGAGGACCTCGAGAGTGAGGATGGCCATATCGACGAGGAAGAAGAAGGTACGCTCCAATAGAACTCAACCTGTCGGTTCCTGGTGTCACTTCGAAAGTTGTGACTACGAAGTGGAATATCTTCCATTGTGTGGACGTGGATCTTTTTTCATTGAAAACATCGGACTAACTGAGTTGTGTTTCCACCTTGCTAGACACGACCCCTGGTGGTGCCCGAACCATCCCGGAAGACCAACTCATGACTGATACCCGACTTGGTCTCAGTGAGCATGAGGTCCATGTTCGCCGTCGCAAGTATGGTCTTAACCAAATGAAAGAGGAGAAGGAGAACCTGATCCTCAAGTTCGTGAGTATAACCATCGCCACCCCCTTCACCTCGACTCGGGGTTCCATGTGTACGGGCACGAATCTAACGGGACCTAGTGTATGTACTTTGTCGGCCCTATTCAGTTCGTCATGGAGGCCGCTGCCGTCCTGGCTGCCGGTCTTGAGGATTGGGTTGACTTCGGTGTCATTTTGGCTCTGCTTCTCTTGAACGCCGTTGTCGGTTTCGTTCAGGAATTTCAAGCAGGAAGCATCGTCGAAGAGTTGAAGAAGACACTCGCTCTCAAGGCAGTTGTCATTCGTGACGGTCGCGTTCAGGAAATCGAGGCCCCCCAGGTCGTTCCCGGCGATATTCTCCAGATCGAGGAGGGTACTATTGTACCTGCTGACGGCCGTATCGTGACCGAAGATGCCTTTGTCCAGGTCGATCAATCCGCCATCACGGGTGAATCCCTCGCCGTCGACCGTCACAAGGGGGACACCCTCTACGCGTCGTCCGCTGTCAAGCGCGGTGAAGCTTTCATCATCGTCACGGCTACCGGTGATTCGACATTCGTCGGCCGTGCAGCTGCTCTCGTCAGCGCTGCCAACAGTGGCACTGGTCACTTCACAGAGGTCTTGAACGGCATTGGTACCACTCTCCTGGTTCTCGTTGTCGCGACTCTCCTGGTTGTCTGGGTTGCCAGCTTCTACCGGTCCAATGACATTGTGACGATTCTCCGCTTCACCCTGGCCATCCTGATCGTTGGTGTTCCCGTCGGTCTCCCTGCCGTCGTAACCACCACCATGGCCGTCGGTGCTGCCTACCTGGCCAAGAAGAAGGCTATTGTGCAGAAGCTATCCGCCATCGAGTCGCTGGCTGGTGTTGAGATCCTCTGCTCCGACAAGACGGGAACCTTGACGAAGAACAAGCTGTCGCTCGCTGAGCCGTACACCGTCGAGGGAGTTGACCCCGAAGATTTGATGCTCACTGCCTGTCTTGCTGCCTCCCGCAAGAAGAAGGGCATGGACGCCATCGACAAGGCGTTCCTCAAGTCTCTCAAGCACTACGCCCGTGCCAAGAGCGTCCTGAGCAAGTACAAGGTCATTTCATTCTATCCCTTCGATCCCGTCTCGAAGAAGGTCACGGCTGTCGTTGAGTCCCCGACTGGCGAGCGCATTACCTGCGTCAAGGGAGCGCCTCTGTTCGTTCTCAAGACGGTTGAGGAAGATCATCCGCTGGACGAGGCTGTCGACATCGCGTACAAGAACAAGGTTGCTGAATTCGCCACTCGCGGTTTCCGGTCTCTCGGTGTTGCGCGCAAGCGTGACGAGGGTAACTGGGAGATCCTTGGTATCATGCCCTGTTCTGACCCTCCCCGTCACGATACCGCTCGTACTGTCAATGAGGCCAAGAATCTCGGTCTCTCCGTCAAGATGCTCACTGGTGATGCTGTTGGGTAAGCATTGATCTGCTTTGATAGCGGGGGTTGGCACCTGAAGGAAGCCAGCTGACAAATATTTTTAGAATTGCTCGTGAGACGTCCCGTCAACTAGGTCTCGGCACCAACATCTTCAATGCCGATCGTCTTGGTCTCGGTGGTGGCGGTGACATGCCCGGCTCTGAGGTGTATGACTTTGTTGAGGCCGCCGATGGATTCGCCGAAGTCTTCCCCCAGCACAAGTGTGAGCCTAAATTTTCCGACCCCCAGTCTGAGGAGAGGAAGTGCGTGTGTCTGTGAGTGCCAGATGGCTGACTTGATTACGATGCAGACAACGTCGTCGAGATTCTGCAGCAGCGTGGCTACCTTGTTGCTATGACTGGTGACGGTGTCAACGATGCTCCTAGTCTGAAAAAGGCCGACACGGGTATTGGTAAGAAAAAGCCCACGCTCCCGATTCTGTTGAAGAAAAGGCAATAGGTGCTAACAGATGACGTGAAGCCGTCGAGGGTGCCTCCGATGCCGCGCGCTCAGCTGCTGATATTGTCTTCCTGGCCCCTGGTCTCGGAGCCATCATTGATGCTCTGTCAGTAACCCGTCCACCGCCCAATATGAGCCGCGTAACGAGGCAGTGGTGCTAACAGAAATATAGGAAAACGTCGCGTCAAATTTTCCACCGCATGTACTCCTACGTCGTGTACCGTATCGCTCTCTCAATCCATCTTGAGATCTACCTTGCTCTCTGGGTAAGTCATGGCCAAGTTCAGGCGCTTGGTGCTAGTCACTTGCTGAGTGCGTGCTGACCCTGGATCATGTTTAGATTGCGATTCTGAACCGGTCGCTCAACATCGAGCTGGTCGTCTTCATTGCTATTTTTGCTGATATCGCCACCCTGGCCATCGCCTATGATAATGGTATGTTTTCTTCGCAAGACGGGTTTCGGTCGTACGAAGTGGTGGATTGCTAACTTTGACCTCTTTCCCCTTTCGCAGCCCCCTACAGCCACACGCCCGTCAAGTGGAACCTCCCCAGGCTTTGGGGCATCTCGATCATTCTCGGAATCGTTCTTGCCATCGGTACCTGGATTACGGTTACGACGATGTACGCGCACGGCCCGGACGGTGGTATTGTTCAGAACTTCGGCAACATGGACGAGGTTGTGTTCCTCCAGATCAGCTTGACGGAGAACTGGCTCATCTTCGTTACTCGCGCCAACGGACCGTTCTGGTCGTCGATCCCGTCGTGGCAGCTGGCGGGAGCGATTTTCATTGTCGACGTGATTGCCACGTGCTTCTGTATTTGGGGTTGGTTCCTGGGCGGCGACCCGACCAGCATCGTGGCCGTGGTCCGTGTCTGGATCTTCTCGTTCGGCGTGTTCTGCGTCTGCGCGGGTGTTTACTACATCCTCCAGGACAACAAGGGCTTCGACAACCTCATGCACGGCAAATCGCCCAAGGGGTCGCCGAAGCAGCGGTCACTGGAAGACTTTGTCGTGTCTCTGCAGCGCGTCTCGACGCAGCACGAGAAGTCGCAGTAATTGCAGCCATGTGCAATCAGAAAGTGGGAAAACCCCCCAAAGGGAGAACGGGGGGTGTTTTGGGCGCGAGTGAAGCGTGGGCATGTTCCATTGGGAGAGACGGGGATGGGGATAAAAATAAAAAGAAAGAAATGAAAAGAAAAGAAAACAAAACAAAAGAAAAGAAACCTCCGATGGGAGCGGAGATGACAGCGCGAAGGGGGCGAACGAAGCAGTTTATTTCTTGGGTCTAGATTCTGCGAGTGTCTACTTCGCGCATCGGTAATTATACCTGAATGGAGTGGGGTCGGAGGGAGTTTCAGTGAGAAGTTTCAGCGAGATGAGGCAGGTGGTGATGGAAGCCTGCTCAGAGGGTTTTTTTAGTATTCGGAGGGCGCCATACCCCGGTAGACGCTTGTTAGATCTGGGTTTAATTCAACATGTCAAAAATGAATCAAAAACTAACTAAATTAAAATGCGTGAGAAACAATTTGTTTGCCGAACTAAATTTCAATGTAATACTTAGCCGGTACTTGAGGTGCAGCGTTCGTCCGTCCCAATCCGTCCCAATGGGTCTGAGGGTATAGATCACGTGATCTCAGTTCAGCCAACAAGTACCTTCGTAAAAAGCAAAAGGGCTTCCGTTGACTTTCTGGGCTAATAAAGTAAGGTACCTTACCTTATATAAGGTATGATTAACTTATCGAAGTCAAGTTCAATAGGTACAACCTAAGGTAAGGTACCTTAGGTACCTTATAAAGACGTCACCGTTCGTTCATCTACCGCGTAGCTAGATCCTAGAACCTCGAAGGTTCCCCATTCCCAATCTCCCCTCATCAACCTACCACCATGAGTTTACAAATCCCAGGCTATTACTACGGTATACCTTGTCACCTTTTCGGAATATCCTGGTCTGTTAGTGGGAAACGCCAAGAACAAGAACTAACGATCGTCCAGACGAGGAGAAGAAAAAGTACTTCAAAATCGAGAAGACCCAGACGGCACCCAGCCAGGCAGCCTGGTCCGCGGACAACGTCAAGCGCCGTACCATAGAAGCCCAGTCCGCCCGTGCCGATCAGCAGCGCGCCGAGCTGACCAGGCGGCACATCAAGCGGGCGCGCATCCTTGGTGAGCCCCAGCTCGGGGGGCTTCTAGGTCGGCAGCTCGGCGTATCTTTGTCTTTGTCTCCGTCGCCGTCGTCGTCCTTCTCGTCTTCCGCCTACTCCGCTGCCCCGTCCGTGCTGGATGACGTGCCTGGCGCCGTGTGGGCCGCTGGTCTCGTCGGCAAAGGAGTCGTGCCTTTCGCGCCGGGCCTTGCGGCTGAGAGATTCCCTAATGTGCGGTGTTTCTGGGTGGGGGGGCAGGGCGAGGAGCCTGGGGTAGGGGCTGCGTTTGCCTGTAAGTTTTATAGTCCTGCTTTCCGTACCTATGTTCCGAAAGGGGATTTTGCTTTTTTTTTTCGTTTCTTCCTGACCTCACTTCTCCTTATACCAAGCTAGACCTCCTGCTGATGTGATGGCATGATGCTTCTGCTCCTCCTAGCTCCGGCTGAGGCGATGCTGTCAAGCATATACATTCCTACAGATGAAAACGGGAGGTATGTAAGACGAGCTTGGAACGTATCATCCTGCTTTGCGAGCATACTGGCTTTGAGGGGCCCTTTGATACTGACCTCCAAGCTACTCAGAATCTCCTATACTACTGATGGCTTTGGTCGTCGCGAGAGAAGGCTGCAACACTACCTCGAACCTTGTCCATACGACCAGATCTCTTCCATCACTTATCACAAACCTTCGCGCCGCATGATCTTCACCTCCGACGAACCTTACTACGCAGCAGATCTTACATGGCTCTACCCGCGTCGAAGTACACCGCACGATGATCGCCCCGCTTGGCTGCTGGGCGAGCATGCAAGTATGTATGCACAACTTCCCCCCCCCCGGGTTATACATTATCTGGACCGTCGAACGCTGACCTCAGAGGTTCTTTTCTGCCCCTGAAAATACAAAGTATCTGATCCGCTAACCAAGCGGGCGAGTCTTATGGGACGTTACCCCCTCTGTTCTGTACACAATGCCGTCCCCGCCCCCGACGCGGTCTCCGATACGGTCTGCACCATCAGCACCGACTGCGGCATCCTCCACCTGGACGCCCAGGATAAGCTCAGTTGGCTAACCGGCTCCCCTGCACCTCCTCCCCATGCAAAGGCAGGCAACCGGTCAGTCCCCAGGGATGTCCTCGCCCAGAGCTTCCATCCCACACACCCGTCTCTCCTCCTCGCCGGCACCCGGGCCTCCTTCGTTCACCTGATTGATCGCCGTGCACCTGCCGAGTCCTGGTCGTCCTTCCGCCACAGCAGCGCCGTCACGCACCTGCGCTGTCTCGAAGGGAGGCCCGCGTCAAGGGGAGGCTGCGCGCACCATGTCCTCGTCGCAGGGTTACAGTCCAGCCTCTGCGTCTACGACTTGAGGTATCTCTCCTCCTCGCCTCAGCAGACCCGACCGTCCCAAGCACCACCCCCCCCGCAAAGTGGAAGCACCACCAGCAGCAGAAAGAGAAGCAACCGCCCTTCCTTGCATCGGCTCCGTCGCCAGCCGAAACCCGGATCCACGTTCCTCCGATACGACTCAGACCCCGGGCTCTCAGCTGCCCGAAACAACAGAGACAACGACAACAATATCGTCGCAAGAAACGACAACATCTCCTCGCGAATCAATCCCGGCCGTGCGAGAACGGGTGGAACGGACACGGAAAGCGACGCCGGCGCAGCAGCCGCACGACCCGTCCTCACGTTCCCTGCCTACCGCAACGCAGCCCACGTCCATATCGGCTTCGACCTCGACCCCGCCACGGGCGTCGTGGCTGCCGCGCACGACGATGGTCGCGTCGCGCTCTACTCGTTAGCATCAGGGCAGCGGCTGCGCTCGCCCCATGTCGACGCCGTGTGTGCCCGAGCACCCGTCAGGAGCCTCATGTTCCAGACGATGCCGGGAGACCGGCACGCCAGTCTTTGGGTCGGCGTCGGGGCGTCGTTGCGCAAGTTCTCTGTGGGGTTTGAAGGGGAGGATGACGACGAATGCTAGAGTGCTGTGGCGCATCCGATCGCGAAACGATTACCCCTGGCCTTTTTTTTCCTTTTTTCCCTTTTTCCCTTTTCCTTCTTCTTTTCCTTTCCTTTCTTTTCCGCTGCTTCTACAAGCATGCTTCATCATAAAAGGTAAGGAGAAGCGTCACATGGTTGCCATCATCATAGATGATTCCTGCACAAAAAGCGGGCATGGGGCGGCGTTGGTGGCGGGCTAGTCAACGGTCTGGTCTGGTATACCCATCATATATCATTGCATGATACAGAAAGGAATTTGCTATATTCCAATTCTGACGCTTATCCAACTCTATTCTGAATCCAAAAGACGCCATATAATAAATAATACCGTACTTAAGATCTTCCTTGGCATGCCGGAGACGAAACCATAAATCGTTACGTTGTGACATCGGTCACTAAGCCCGCGGGCACAAGGGAGCCGAGTCCGGGTCGACTACCGCCGCGCCGCTTGCGACTTGCTGCTCTTAAAGGTATACATGCCAGTCAAGCTGGGGAACACCGAGGCGAACGAGTCGCCCAGCGTCCAATTCTCGAGGCGGCGCAGGTGCCGCTCGAAGACGGGATTGATCAAGACGTCGTTGGAATCAGGCACCATGAGGAGGGTGTCCACCTCCTCGTAGGGCCAGTTCAGGGACAGGGTGGTGGTGAAGGGGACGAAGAACTCGTCAAAGGGGTACTCCCGCAGGTTGTAGTTGCGGGCCATGTGCTTGCGCATGAGGGGGAAGGGGAGGTGGTCGACCCAGGCCGGGTGCGGGTAGACGAACTGCTCCTGCACGGGGCGGGCCCAGGGCGGGAGGCGCTCGAGGTTCTCCCGGGTCGGGGCGATCTGCCAGCGCATGATGAGGAACATGATGTACAGGACGGCGACTTTCTCGGGAAGCCGGGAGAGGTCGGGGAAGGTGGACAGGATGTCGGTGAAGACTTTGGACAAGGGATGGGAGTATTGGCTGTTGGCGGGGTTCAGGAGCGACGACACGGAAGGATAGCGCGGGCCGATGAGTTCGCCGGTCGGCAGGCCGTCGGCGGCGCGTTGGCGGCGTTCATTGAGGAAGTCTAGGAGCAGACTATCCAGAGGACAGGTCGGTGGGGAGTTCCGTAACTCGGTAGTGGAATATGCGCCGGATGGTACGGTCGGTACGGTCGGTACGGTTTGTATTGTCGGTGCGGGTGGTATTGGCGCTTGTGTTGGTACTCGTACTCGTACTGGTGTTGGGGTCGTCGTTGGCGGTGCCGGCACTGATGCGGGTCGCGAGACGGCGGCGGAGGTGTTTTCCGTCACGTAGTCGAGTCCCCTGGTCTGCTGGGAGGTTCCGTTGGCATAGGCCAGAGAGGGATGTTGCGCGGCGTAGGCGCTGGCCCAGTCGTGTTTCATGGGAACATGATGATATTGGGGCGAATCCTGAGCGCCATGGATGCCGTTCCGTATCCTGGGGCATCCTAGGGGAGAGTCTAGGAGGAAGTCGAGACCCAGTTTCTCAGGGCCGAGGTCGAGGTTATGGCGGAGATCGTGGCGTTGTTGGTCGAGCATCCTTCCCTGGGCGGCCTGGTCGCTAGAGACGGCGGGCCACGACGGTTGATGTCCAACAGAGCCGGGTGACGCAGCGCTTCCTGGAGTAGATGCGGTGTGAGCCGAGACGGGGGCGGGCGGGTGATGTTGATGATGAGAAGCGTTGCCAAATCCCGGGGCGGGAAAGGGATAGGCTGGGTCGTGGGCTGCGGTGGTGGGAGCTACGGACGTCAGGGGAATACTGAATACTGTACACACACATGATAGTTCGGGGGAGGGGGGGGGGAACAAACTGTCGCTTACCTGGGCCATGGGGCGATGAGATGAGGGGCTGGAGCAGCGACACGATGCTGGCCAAACGTCTCTTGATCTCGACGTTCTCTGCTTCGACGGCTTCCTTAGCCCGGAGGGCGACCTGGAGATCCTGGTACGGCTGTTGGGAGGTAAGCTCCTGGATACGTCGCTCGAGCTGCTCGATTTGGTGCTTGGTCCGCTCCCGAATGGCCCTTTGCGCCTCGCGGTCTGGTTATGCAATGGACACAGTATGTGGTCAGTTCCATGTGATACTGACACTTTTGTCACACTGCAGTTCCCGCTCAGGTGGCACAGGTGAAAAGGCTCCTATGAATGATGCAGAAGAAAGCGTGGGGTGGCTACACGGTGCTCGGGGTAAAGGGGAACCGAGATGGAGCATTTTGTAGAAACACAAGGTAGGGGGGCCGGAAAAAAGAGGGAGAGGGGATGGCACAAGAGCCAGGTCGTGTTGAGGATGCGCCGAGAAGTAGCAGTCTCGGTGAAGTCTTGGCAGGGACGGAAAAGAGAATCACAAAGGGCTGTACAAGGTTGAGTAGTAGTAATAGTAGTAGTAGTAGCAGTAGGGTTCTACGAGAGACGGACGGATGGTGGAAGAAGCAAAAGAAAAGAAGAGGCATCCTCTCAACATAGTGAACATACCGTTCGCCCTCTTCTTGGCTAGCTGAGCAGGGGTGAGGTTGGCCACGCCCCGAGACCCCGGACCGGTGCGCCGCTTCTTCCCGGCATCTGTGGTAGCAATGGCTGCGGTATTGGGCGCAGCGCGGGAGCCAGTGCCGCCGGAGGTAGTGGGGCTCCCCTCGGAACCGGCGGCGGCAGGGCTGAGGTCTTCGGACGGGGCACCCCGCTTGTGCCCGGTCCATTCGGTTGCATTCAGGGTCAGGGAGGAGGAGGTCGCAGAAGGGGCGGGGCTGGGCTGGCTGTTCGGATCGGACGCCATGCAGGGCAGAACAGGGTCTGTCGAAAGGCAGGGCACATGGGGATAGTGTGTGATATGTATTATCAGCCCTGTTCTTGCCTCTTTCCTCTTGCCCCTTGCCCGCTTTTGCCGCCTGCTTTCGCCGTTATCTTGTCCTTCCTTTAACTTTTCTTGTTGAAGCTCCAGGCAGTTCGACCCAGGACCGGACCAGAGCCAGAGCCAGTGCCAGTCAGTCGGATGGCGACCCAGACGGAGGAGCAAAGCAACGAAGAAGCTTGGTGGAAAAGAGATGAGCAACAAGACCCGGGTAAACGTTCCAGTCCCAATAAAGGAATAGGAGGCCAATGGCGGGATGGCGGGATGGCGGGATGGCTTGACGTCGAGTCGTCCCCCCTTTTTTGGCCGTTTGGGAGCTCCCAACAGGTTCGTTCCTAACGGGTTCGATTGGGCGGCCAAGCGCGGGTGCCGCTGGCTGCCAGGGGAGAGGGGAGGGTACGTGCAGCCGTAATTACGTGCAGACAGATGACAGCGGGGAGATGGTTCCCGTTGACTGGTGACTCGGCGACAGGGTGACTAGGGGGGGGGCGGACGACGCATGTGCGCAACCATAATTAAGGGATGGGCGGCCAGGGAAAAAGGATGGGCCTGAACGTCGGAGAGTTGACAGAAAGAAGGAGGGGGGAGCGGGTGAAGGATCCAGAGAAATGGGCACGGGACCTATGAGGTGCAAGTTGATGAATCAGGAACCCACCTGCTCTAACCGTAAAGTAGCCGAGTCTCCGAGTCATGAAGGGGTACACGTGTGGGAACAAAAGTTCCGGGCAATAGGGATAGGTGCGCCAGTTATCACGTGATAAATCTATATTCGCTTGTGATTTCGTGAAGTAAGGTATTTTCTTATTATTAGTATTTCGTTCGTTACGAACTGCGAGTACCTCGTAAGGTACACAAGGTACCTTAAGGTAGTGCCCTGTACATAAAAGAGAGGCACACGACACGATCCTGTATGAACCAAGTCGTGTCGTCCAGAGACGATCGGATCATGGCATGATGTCCTGTCATATCACATGGGGTAATTACCTACCTTCGGTACACTTCTATCATAATGCAAAACTGTGGTATCATCAATAAGCACATACAAACGAACAAACAAACAGAAACCAGACAACGCCTCCCTCCCTCCCAACCCAAACCGGGACTGTCATCCCACACCACCTCATGATGCCTTCATCGCCTCCACAAAAAGCTCCCGCATCCCCTTGAGCAACACCACCAGCTCCCTCGTCTCGTTGACCCGGTCCAGCACCCGCTCCACCTTTTCCTTCTCCAGCTTGGGCCGGCAGTGCCGCACGTCGTAGTCCCGCGTCGCCGTGCTGAGCTCGAACCACGCCTCCCGGTCCCAGTCCTTCTCGTCGATGCACGTGTACACGAACTTGAGCCGGTCGTCGTGGCCCGCGCCCTCGATCCGGAGCCCGAGGTTCTGCTGCCAAAACTCCAGCTCCGGCACGTTGAACCGCGACTGCGCCTCCATCCGCGCCGCGTACTCCCTCTGCGCCGCCAGCCGCGCGTCGATCTCCCGCTGCGTGTCCGCCATCTGCTTTTGGAGTGCTTCCCGCGCCGTCAGGTGCTTGTCCCGCTCCTTCTCCAGTTGCGCGATCGCGCCCTCCATCTCCCGCTTCTCTGCTGTTTCCCGCTCGACCGTTTGTTGGTGTGTGCTCGTTTTGAGGCGTAGGATCTCGATGTCTTTCTTTTTCATTCGTTGGTCCTCTGTTTGTTTTTTTATCGCGTCGTTAGTGTCGCGAAATAATCAATGGCCCCTTTTGGGGAGGTGAGACCAGGAGAAAAGAAAAAAAAAAAGGGGGCAGCAATGTTTACGGACCTTGTAGCTCTGCCATGTTCATCCGAAACTGGTTCCTCTCTTCCAACACGCGTTTTCGTCCTTGCTCGATAAACGCGTCAAACTTGACACTGAATTTGGTCATGCGATCGCGCAGTTCATCGAACCCGAAGTGGATGCTGGGTAACGTGTCTGCCACCGACGTCGCCGGCCCGGGCGCCATAGAATGCCGGGACCGAGAAGGCTCAAAAGTCGAAGCCATATTTTGTGTGTCTTGAAAATCGCTTCTTCGTGATATGAGGAGTATCTTGACGAGAAAGTCGCCTCGCGTAGTAGCGTAGTAAATTGGTTCAGTCGAGCCGGTACCGAGTTGAGCGTGGTCGCGTATCGCAACATTGTCTGGCAATGATGAATGCGAGTCTTCATTTGCTTTAGCTTTGGTGGGGGGGCGGGGTTGCTGGGTCAACAATCTGATGGGACCGATGACTAATCGGGAGGCCAAAAGACAACTCAAACCACCCATAGGTAATTACTTCAACTATCGCATACCTATGGAAATGGTTTCGTAGTAAATAGTCGTCCGCCAAATTCTTTGAAACCCACTGGATCAGCTACTTGGCTCTGTGGCCTGCAGGACAGTGGCCACTGACTATTTATCGCATAAATCCCCTCTCTCGTCGCGGCATCCGAACACATCGACCTCGCTTCCGCCTTCCCGAACTTGCGCGCCGAGGCATATTGCATTTCAAAGTCAAGATATCGAGGCAAACTCATCACCAGGCGCACATGTGAAGTCTGAGATGTAGACGTTAGACTTAGACACCTCCACTCCAATTGGGTATAGATGCCACTGCACGAACCAAGAAAGGCAGAGAAGCAAAAGAACAAATAATAATAGACACCCGCGCCCATGATTTCCTCCCTCGCATCGACTCAGGGGGGGGGGGAGAAACAAAAACTCAAGAAGAAAAAAAACACCTTCCAGAATAACCATGCGAAATGACTCCCTATTCAATATACTACCCCTGTCTCGTCACTCGGATTCCTCCTCGGACACGCGAGCTCGCGAGAAGAACATGGTAAAGCAATCCGCATGGGACGGAAATGCCATGGCGTAAAAACAGTGGGTAAAGCTCGATTATAGTCCCTGACCGAGCGGGGATATCATACACGGCAACCGTCTTGGTCACCTCATTATCATCCGACCATAACCAAAACCAAAGAGACGTTTAACGAATATGGTGCCGCCAACACCAACTCCCAGTCTCTCCCAGTAGCCGTCAGGAAGGGCATCAGCTGTGTCGAGCCAACGCAAGGAACGCGTAGAAAAAAAACCGTTGATGGAAGACGACGAGGATAGAGAACGCCCAACGTGCGGACATAGCGGTGACGTCAAATGCATGACGAAATGGGCCACAAGCCTGCAAGTAACCACTGACGCGTGTTTTTTCGAAAGCGATGTCGAGGTAAAAAAAAAAAAAAAAAAAAAAAAGCCGGCTTTAGGCCGCGGGTGGGTTGGTCTTGACTCTCTTCGGCATCCTCGGAGTCGGCGGTTTGCCCTTGTTCTGGACGCCATTGACTTGTCCGCCGCCCGCGCCGGCTCCCGGAGTTGGTGCGGACGATGCATCCTCTTCCGCTTTGACGGTGGACGGTCGTCTCCTCTTGTTCGAGGCCGGAGAGTTGTTGGCACTCGGGCCGCTCGAATTGGTGCCTTGCTGGCTCTGCTGTACTTGCATCCCGGGTGCTTGCATGTGGCCCATAGCAGGGCTGCCCATTAGGTGAGGCGAGCCAGGGAGCTGCATATTCTGCTGAGCAGGACTCGCGCCCATCTGCTGTACGCCGGGCACGGGGAACTGGCCGAAACTGGGTGTTCTAGGGCCTTGCTGCATAGCCTGGGCCTGCAAAGCCTGGGCCTGCATAGCCTGCGCGTTCATGGCCTGCGCGTTCATGGCTTGCGCGTTCATTGCCTGCGCGTTCATGGCTTGCGCGTTCATGGCCTGCTGTTGGTGATGGTTAATCTGGTTGACGTACTGCTCAAGCGCCGCATAAGGACTCAGCCCGGGATGGCTGTGGTAAAACCCGAAGAGAGGGTTCATCTGGCCCATTACTTCCACGATCTGTAATTTTTAGTCTCCCCGTTAGCGGCAGCCCAAAATGATGCGGGTAGGCGGTCGGAAGGGGCGAAGATGCGTACCTCGAGAAATTGGAACACCGCCTCAGTAATGCCCATGCTCTTTTTTACCGCGGATTCTGGTAGGTCCACCAAAGCATCGGGCGGCGGGTTCTGCGGCGACTTCATCGGGCGAGCTTTGCCCTTCTTGCTCATCTCGGGCGAGGCCTTGGTGTCCTGCGAGTTGACCCTATGCCATTCCTTGGCCCAGTTGTGTGCGGGCTTCGCTGCTTCAATGACCGCTCTCCGAGAAATGTACTCTTCATGGCCGCTGGTGATGAATTCGAAAAGCTCAATTTTCTGGTCGTTGTCGAAATGGGCGCGAACCGTACCCGTTGCGACGAGCTGGGTAATTCGGCATTAGTTTTGGTCGCGCGAGACTTTCAACACATTTCCGGCACTTCCTCGACTTACATGAGAGCCTCCTTCAAACCAATAGATCCAACTGGATCTTGTGTTTTCTATCCACTGGTTATGAGACGGAAGTGACCGGTCCGTAGTACCCTTCTCCATGATTAATTGCATATTCTTGACACCGCTGTCAAAGTGCGTGTGGAAGTATCGGGCCAGGGCCGGGTAGGTGATCTCGTATTGCTTATCGGTCTGGTCTTCGACGTCGGTAATATGGACGGAGTGTCTGAAAACGCCTCTCGGAGAGAAGAATTGGGCGACGAAGTTGTTCCAATACGACAAGTCATCCTTGCCCTTCGAGCCCTGAGCGAAACGAGGTATGTGTTAGCGGGGGGCGGGGGACATCCAACGTTCACTCCCTGCCAAGTTCAGTGGATGTATCCTACCGGAAAGTCGCTCAGAGACTCGCTGAATTGCATGAGCTTCAGCAAACAGTTTCCCTTCATCGTCTCCCTTCGTTGCTGCGCCAGGGCCATCCTTGTAGCGAAAGCGGCCTGCTGGGCCTGACTCATTTGGTGCGGATGCTGCTGGTGATGCTGTTGCGGGTGTTGCTGGGGAGGCTGCGGCTGCTGCGGTTGAGATGGCTGGCCTTGCGGCGGCTGCTGCTGCTGCTGCTGTTGCTGCTGAGGTTGTGGGCCGTGTTGCTGAGGACCTTGGGGCTGGTTCGGTGGTTGAGGAGGCTGAGGTTGCTGGTTTGGCTGGGGACCAGGCGTTTGGGACGGGGTAGGGTGGCCGGCGGATTGCGGATTGGTAGGTTGCGACGGCTGCGGCTGCGGCTGCGGCGTCTGTTGCGGTTGTGGCCCTCCTTGCTGTTGTGGCTGCTGGGGCTGGCCTTGGGGCTGCTGGGCCTGTTGCTGAGCCTGCATGGCCAGCTGGGCCTGCTGGAGATTCTGCAATTGCTGCGGGCTTATCTGCACCGGCTGGCCTGGCTGGCCGCTCTGATGTTGCATTTGTTGGTTTTGCTGGGCGGCCTGCTGTTGCTGTTGGAGCGCGAGCTGATGAGCAAGCATTGCTTGGTTGTGGTGGGCATGCTTCATTACGTCTACGTTAGAGATGATGACCAGTGCCTTATGAGGGAAAGAGAACCCAGTTGGAGAGAAAAAAGGGGGGGGGGGGGTGAAGGGATCACTGGGTGGCATAAACCTACCGGCTGCTGCATTCTGGCTTGTCGCATGGCTGCAAGCTGAGCCTGGTTCATCGGAACACCCATAGGCATGCCGTTAACACCAACTTGCATATTGGCGCCGAAAGCAGCTTGTTGAGCCAGGAACTGTTGTCGGCTTTGTTGTTGCTGTTGGATAAATCTTTGCTGTTGTAGTTGGGCCATGGCAGGATTACCAGCGACTGTGCAGGGCAAAAATCAGTACGCACAGCCATGGCCATTATGGCAGAGAGCGAAGGGGAGGGACGACGGAGGAAGCACTGCGGGGAAAGAAGGTAGGGAGAAGATGAACTGGATGAGCACGTACAGTTGGCGAATGGGCCCTGCTGGAACATCGGGTTCTGTGCAGGATTCAGGTGCTGGAGGGCATGGGCATTAGGCCCAGCGGCGCCAGGCGGCATGCCGCCCATCAAGGCCGCAGGATTTACTTGTCCCCCAGGACCCGAGACGGCCATATGCATTTGTTGAGGCATGCCAGCTCCGGCGGGCGCACCTGGTTGATTTGGATTATGAGGCATACCGGGTGCCATAGGATGGCCGGGTACACCTGGGTGTTGGTGCATACCGGCCGGATGGCCAGCGAAAGAAGGTCCCATACTCATCATGTCTTCCTAATGTCGACCATCCACGACGTGGATATCGACGTCGAACACGCGATACTATTGCATACGCTCGCCCGAGGAAAAAAACACCGCTCGTGCTAGTCAGCGATGGGTTTGAAGCGGACAACGGGTGTAGGTCGGGTTGCAAGTCGATCCACGGTTGACGCGACTGTGGTAAAGGCCTCGAGCGGTGAAGATATAGGTTGTGGGATAAGCGACGAAAGAAGTGTCGCGCGAGTGTCGTAGAGGCGAGAGAGGACGAGAGAGAGATATAGAGAGAGCGAGAAAGTCGAGGTATCGTTTGGCCACAAGCCGGAACTCTAAATCGTGACGGAATCTACCAACGGGTAGGGGAAATGTTCGTTTCAAATGCAATGAGGAAGGAACCTGGAGATGTGAATCACGAGGCTCGATCCAGGATCATTCAATGACGCGACGGATTTGTAGAAAATTGCTTGACTGATCAGGGTTGCTTGATCGGTTGGATCAACCAGTGCGAGTCGTGCGATGAGCGAGGGCCCGTGTTGTCGTGGTAAAAAAAAAAAAAAAATAAGAAGAAGAAGAAGAAAAAGGTTATATCGAAAGAAGGTTGGAAAAAAAGCCGGGGAAAAAGGCGCGATGGTGGCGTCGAATACGATGTACAAAGAGAGGCAACCGGGCAAGCAAGTAGCGAGAAGCCTAAAAAAAGGAAGACGGAGACAATTGATCGATAAACGTCGCGACGTGTCGGGCTCGGGCAATCCGGTGCTGTGTCACAACGGAAGCTCTGCCAGGAACGTTTGTTCGCGTGTAGTCGGTCAAGTGAGGTCCGTCTTTTTGTTTTGCTCGCGAGTCGGGCTGGGATGGTTGAGGCGACGCCGCGTGTTTTCCGCCGCTGGGGAGCGACTTCAGCCAGAGGGTCGGGAGGGTAGGGTGAGTTGCAGAGAAGAGATGGATAAAGAAAAAAAAAACCCCCCAAATGAAGAGCTCAGAGACGAGAAGGCTTTCCCAGAGGGCAAGCTTCGAGTTGCTCCGTGTGCGCTCGGTTTCCTGTCAACGGGTGCGGCGCCCAGCAAGTGGGAAGAGGGAGTCCAGAAGTACAAGGTCTAAAAAATGTCGAGAAAGAGAAGCGAGGGTAAGAGCGACGAGGATTAAGGTCCGTCCCTGGGAGCAAAATGAAGATCCCACGGATGACCCAAATGGGAGACGTATCTCGGTGGCGGTGGGGAGGTTGGCCGGAATCCCGGAATATCTGGTGTCGCAGTCGCAGGGAAGTGCAGATGGTGAGGCGCTTCTTCCTCCTTGCGGCCAGATCGATCCTGGGCTAGCTACCTAGATGGGGAGGGGAGCCGATCGGGACAAGGAAAGGGAATGGGCAGAGAGACGCCAACAGTGAGCGAACGATTGTGGGAGAATGGTTCTAGGCTAGGACTGGGGCCAAGATTTCGAAGCCCAGGGAAATGTGGAGCGACTTGTGGGATCAAGTAGTTCGGTTTATGCAATTAACCGGGATATAAGCTGTTTTAGAGCATGGAGGCGGACACTCGACACTTTGAGTGGTGGAGTGCGGAGAGCAAGGTAGGATGCTTTATCCGTATATACGCTTATCATCGAAGCCAGCTAATGATGGCCCCGTTATAAGGTAGTCGACTTTTCGGAGAAGGCTGGAAATGGCATGGCGGACACATGAACCGGAGGAGGTGGTAAGTACCTGATTACGGGAAGTCTCGATTACGGAGCAGAATCCACCAGTCGTTGTTCATGTGTCTCGTTCCACCTACAGTAATAAACCAGGGAGGAATTTCTCAGAAGCGAATGTCTTCATTGACACTACGACATGTGTCTCAATCCAAGAGAACACATAACATGCTATCCGTACGTACGAAACTGAAACAAACCACCGAGACCGGCGATGTCTGTGATGGATCTTGATCGAAAGCATGAGAAACTGGAGCGTGCAGCCGCCCACCCAAGAACACGGACCGTGTCATTTTCCGGACCCATAGGAAAACGCATATCAGCCAATCATACACCATGCAGTCTATACACAGTGTGGACTGGCAAAGAAAAAATTATTGGGACTGTGCTTCAGCCGAGTATTTCTTCACCAGCGAAGAGCCGCCACAAACAAACTTCTTCCTCATCTACAACTCTCCCCAACCACAGGGAGCTTCCATTTTGCTGCTATTCTACTGCTCCTAGAAGAGACTTTTCCTGTCTCTTCTCATCAGCTATTCATACGGCTGCAGTATTCGCTCTTACGGAAGAGCCTGCTATTGCAAAAAGGGCATTGGAGTTGTTTCATTCTTGCAAAGACCTTCGAGGGCAAGTGCCTCTGAAGAAACTTTCCATTCGTGTTCAAGCTTTTTAAGCAGCACGGAATACGAAGCCACCTTGCTATCAGGTATGTCGCGCTTTTCTCAACATGCTTCTCGCGCTTGAATTTTACTCCCAACACGCAAAAACCCCCATCTTTTCCCATCACCTGTATGATGACACACAGAAACAATTGTCTTCTTTTCCCGGCAGAATCGACCATGACGAAAAAAGTCGGGCTCCTCCAAAGGGAGCCTGTTACTTGCCAGTATATCGTGTCTGACACCAATTTATATCTTTCACACATCACATCAATGAGATTGTTTTCAGAAGCAAATTTTGCTAACAACAATGGTCGCTTGTTAGGTTTTGACGCGCTTATTTCTCGACCATATTGGAGCTTTTCTATCCTATATTACTTGCGGGGATCTTGCTTCTCCGATGTGCTACACATTTATCCGGAGACACTAACCAAATCTTCCAGTCTGCCTTGACTCCTCGAGTTCTCAATAGGTCAGTGCTATATTTCTTCTCTTTTACTTTGGCCTTCTCGCTCTTTTTATGATGAAAACTCCTCGAACATTCGCAGTTTCCACTCGAGCCCCTAACGAGCCAAAACCTGGGGTAAATGAGGGACATAATTCCTTCCTTTGGATGTCTGATTTAGCAAACCTGTGCCTATTTTTGCCATTAGTTTGAAGTCATGTCTGTTTGACCAAAGCTAACCGGGCATATCTTTTTAGGCTTCATCCTGCGAGATCGTCCATGGGGACTTCATACACTATTCTACTTTGTTCTTCAGATGCACTTTAGAGGATATGTCTGTACATCAATATATGAACCATTGCTAAAAAAGAATGGTTATGAAATTGGACTTCGAGTGCCAGTTGCTTGTGTCTTCAGTGTCGCCGTTATCAAAACGTGAATTCAACACCATGCCGTACTCGCATCCTTTTGAATTGTGTTCTACACTCTGTACGCTCTCACTTAGATATGTGGGCTACTGTAACTCATCCACCGTCCTTTATGTTGAAGTAAGGTATCTTGCGCCTATCAACCATCATATCCTGTGTACTTTCAAGGAGTACAACGCCATCACCCTAATCTGACCTCCCCCATACCTAAAGTCCTGGCTGCCCATGACGCCGCCATGTCCTGTGTGATCGTGCCAAAACGAAAAGAAAAAAAAGGAAAACGAAACCCCCCAGTCGTAAATCTCATGAAGCACCCAGCCATGCCTCTCCTCCCCGTTTCATTTCTTTCTTCATGCCCTTGCCGTACCTTCATTTCGGAGGGGAATGGATCTACGCGACCCGCAGTGCCTCCTTCACGGACTCCTGGGTCACATCCCTCTTCACCCTCCCACCGACGATGCCCCTCCTGTTCCGGCCCGTGCGACCGCGTCCGAGCCAGTTCAGCTTGAGAAGCCGACACAGCTCCTCCATCTTCTTATTCGCCTCGTCGCTCCCGTCCCCCGCGACGCCGACGCCCGCCAGGATGCTCATGCACTGCAGCATCCGCCCCACCATCTCCGTGACCTGTTTCGAGTCCTCGACGTTCTGCTCCCGCACGCTGCCGAGCAGCGTCTGCTGGTGTTGGTACTGGTGCTGGTGCTGGTTCTGGTGCTGGTGCTGGTGGCCCAGGGACGACGGCGTGAAGGGGCGAAGCTGGCCGTCGCTCCCGCCGCTGGCGAAGCTGACGTTGCTGATGGCGCGGCTGCGGCTCGCGGCGCTGTGGGAGCCGGTCGCGCTTCCGGTGTCGCCGAGGAGGGTTGTGGAGGTGGACCCGTAGCTCGCCACGGAGGGGTCGAGGCTCATGGCCGTTCCGGGACGCATCATCATGCCGCCGCCGAGGTCGGAGGTCTGGGTGGCGGGGCTCGTGGAGAGGGCGGAGACAAAGTCTGGGGAGGGGGAGGGGGAGGGGGAGGAGAGGGCCATCTGGGCGAAAGTGGAGGGGAGGAATTCGAGCGATAGGCGAGAGAAGATGGTCTTGAGGGTCTCGTATCGGGGAAGGATGACGATGTCGCGAAACGCGGTGAGAACCAACCGACGAACGTCGAGGACCGAGGACGCCGGACTGACCTCGGGGGAGTCGCCTGCAATAACGCCGCCCCAGAAATCGCGGGCTTGCTCGGGCGTCATGAGAGAGCCGCACCCGGAGAACTCGAGGTCGAGCGGCAGGAAGACGGCCTGTAGGAAGGGGAGAATGGAGGTGTAGGTGATGAGCCACATCTCGACCAGGGCGGGAATGAACTTGTCCTCCTGGGTCCGCCGCAGAGAGCGGTCCAGAGACGTGAACCCCGTCGTCAAAAGTTCGCGAAAGTCGTCCACTATGATGGTAGGCGACCTCCGCTGGATGCAGTATTGTATGTGCAGATTGACGAGCCGGTTGAAGTCTTCCACGGGTTGGCGCGGGTCCTCCCCTTCGAAGACGACGATCATTTTCGCTTTGAGGTATGGCCAGGCATCGTCGAGAGCCATGCTGTTGAGCCCGTACTTGCTGGAATCGACGGGGTCGAGGAGATGAGCCGACGAGGCGTTGGCCAAGGTGGTCAGGCTTCCCGAAGCCGGCCACTCGGAAGAGAAGGTGGACTCGCCATCTAGCCGGCTCTCGGACCTTTCCACCTTCTTGTCTTTCCTGACCTTGGTGAAGGAGCCGCTAGACGGTACGGGACTGGCGGGTACGTTGAAACTGTACAGGCTCGTGGGAGCGCTGGGGTCCGTGGGCTTGGAGTTGCTCGATGCCGACGACAAGGCTAGATGGTAATCCTCCTTGAGCTTCTGTTTCTGGCGAGACAGAAAGTTGTGTCTTTTCTCCTTCTCTTTTTCTCTCTCCTTCCCTTCTCTTTCGGCAGGGGTATCGATGGGTCGAATGGTGGCCGAGGACGAGTTGTTCATGCTGTAGAGGGAGTGGCTGCTCGTGTCGACGAGGCTGGTAGTGCTGAAGTTGCCCCGCTGCAGTGAGGCGAGAGCCGATCCGATCTTGCTCGGACTGGGCATGGGTTTTTCCCTGGTATCGATTTTGGTAACAATCTTACCCGGCCGAGAGAACAATTTGACTTTGGATTTCTCCTTCTCGGGCTTGGCTGGCCGGGCCGCCTCGGAGACGGCGACGGGCACATGAGTGGGTGAAGGGCTCGGTGAATGGTGATGTTGAGGGTGAGGGTGGGAGAGAGGGTGGGAGAGAGGGTGGGAGAGAGGGTGCGGATGCGATTGCGACTGCGATTGCGACTGCGATTGCGACTGCGACTGCGACTGCGACTGTAACTGCGGCTGGGGCTGGGGCTGCGGTAGTTTGGGCGATGTCTGTCCCGACCTGGGGTAAGCGGCGTTCGCAGCAGTGGCGGCCGCAGCCGAATAGCTCCCCAGAAGACCGTTGTGGTACCCTTGATTCCCGAAACCGCTCTCTCGTGGGGCGCTCGCTTCGGTCAAGCTGAGCATAGGCGGGCTCAGTGGGCCTCTACCCGAGCTGCCCCTTCTGGCACCGTCGTTTCCAACCCCGTTGCCATCTACGGGGGGAGGCACGGTCTGTGAACGCTGTCTGATGCTGTTGGCATTGTTTTGGTGTTGGAAGGCGGCCTGAGCGGCAATCTGACTAGCCGTGAGCGCCGGGCTCTGCGGCCGCGTGGGGGTTGGGGTCTGGGTCATGCCAATTTGCGATAGGTTCGATGTGCTCGTCGAAGGGAGGGTAGGCTCGAACAGGCCTTGGGTATGGCTATGTTTCCTCGCGTGATGGCGGGCCTTTCTTAGGGGGCTCGATGTGTGACCAGCGGCCGATGTAGGATCCCCGCTGCCGTGAGGCCGTTGCGCGGTTGGGCGGGAGAAGTTGTGGGGGTTTGTGTTTATTGAGGTTGAACTCGAGTTGGGGTGGGCAGTGAGTTGCGAACGTTGCCTGGCGACATGAAGAGACGCAAGGGACGCAAGGGACGCAATGGACGAGTCGTCTTCGGCCGTTTCGGAATCGAGACGAGGTGGAGGGCGCGGTCGCTGTGGCGCCATGGTGGATGATGATTGGGAAACCGCTCCTGGCAAGGGACTGAAGCTGCCAGGTGCGCGGGGTGGGGGTCGTGATGGTTGTGCTGGATGCATTGTCGAGGGTTGGTTAGGGACCTGTCACATCTTCCTTGCAAGAGGAGCTCAGGTCGTCTGTGTTGCGTCTGTGTTGTCTGTGTTTCAGAAGAGAGGCGGGGCGCACAGGCATTCGATTGTATGGGCGGTAGAAGCACTGTGCATGCGCTCAATATCGTGATGGCAGTGGGCAGGGAGAGAGAGAGAGAGGTTGGGAAAGATGGAAAGGAAATATTCACGAGTGAGAGAAGAAGTAGGTACCTACGGAGTAATTAATTGGTATGCTCAGTAAGGTACCTAATTAGTACGTACAAAGTAATTATTACCACGCAGTACGGACACCTTTACGGGGTAGATTAGGTCAGAATGAAGTAAAGTAAAGTACCTTACCTAATATGGTAGGTAAGGTAGGTAGGTAAGGTACCTAGGTAGGTAGGTAAGGTAGGTACCTACCTTACCTTATGGATACAGCACAGTCCGTAGATAAAACTTCGTACCTTCCAGGTTGAAAGATGAGGTCGTTCCTATCCAGTGCCTGCGACCTAGGACCTCCATACCTAAGGTACCTATGGTAGGTACACACACCGAAAACGCAGGGCCGATAGAAAGCGACAAGAGCTGACTGAGGCCACTGACAGCTGGGCCCAGACAAATATTCGGTACCTATATCAAGTCTGCATGGTGTCGCGAAACAAATGGAACATGAACCACCCGCCAATCAACTCCATATACAACGCGATACGATTCCAAGATATTCGGACTTCTTCCCTCTATTCGGCTCCATGATGGGCAATATTATGTTCGTCCAACTGACTAATAATACGCCATTGTCTATAAATACATCCCTGAAGAAGATACAACTCCCAATTAACGCCGCTGTCTCATTCGGGCTGGGTTTCTTCTGGTCGAGGGTGTCATCTTTCCCAAGATAATGCGCCCAGAAGACTGGAAAGGCTGGCGGTCCGTCCCAGCGTATGGGAGGGCATTGTGAATCCATGCTTTGTGTAGCGGCGGCATGAAACCCACTACAAGCGGATGCACGTCAAATAATAGCCAGTCGAGCTTCTTCCAACATTCACATTCATAAATTAGGCAAGGGGACGGGACATTCGATTGCCATTTTCTCTTCAACGGGCGGTTTCGATTTCTACCATTTTATTTCATAAGGTGCCTAGTAAGGTGCCTAGTGTACAACAGGTCAAGGGCCTTCCTTACTTGGGCCCCTATTCAGTGTCTCCTGGTCGGTTCAGTATGCCGAGAAGCGGCTATTAACTCTTCCCCCTTTAACCATTTACTCGTTGACGGTACACAGTGGATGATTGACGAGGTATGTCGCTCTCTAAACCCCATTGATTTGAGCAGCACTTCCTTCATCAAGCCGTCTCTTACGCGGAGTCTCTCAGTCTTCCAGGGCCAGTTCTCTCATAGCCCAAAAGTTTGGCAAACCTAGTCCAGTAGCCGGATCCCAGTCTGGTTAAAGGAGAAATGGGTTAGTCACAGATCTTCCAGTGGTAGTAGCCTTTGGAAGGAGGAAAGGAGGGAGGAAAGAAAAATAAAGAAAGCTCACCTGGAGTTGCGTTCCATGATGCCCCTGGAATTATCCCAGCGCCTGGCACCCTTTTCCCTGTCTGGATATCTATACCCTGACATCCCACGGCCGCCCCCCCTGTGACATCCTCCAGCGCCTGATATCCCTTCGCGTATAGCCAAGGGTTGATGAATCCCATGGTCGGCAGTCCTCGCCGGAGCCGCGCATCGTTCAGCAGACCCACGATACCCGCCACCACAGGACACGAAGCCGACGTCCCGCCCGTCAACCCCGGCACGCGCTTATCCACGTAAGCATACTTCGGGGACGAGCTGTGCGCCGACAAGTCCGGGAACGCCCTCCCCGCGAACCGCACGAACCCGTTCTCCTCATAGTACTCCCGCGCCGCCGGATCCAGCTGCTCCTCGAGGTACTTCTCCACCGCAGCGACCTGGTACCACGGCCGCGGGAAGTAGTTGCTGAACCCGCCCGAGCTGCCCTTCCACGCCACCTCCGGGTCCCACGCTTGCGTGCCGCCCACGGTGGTGATGTAAGGGCACGAGCTGGGGAACTGCGGCGAGAACTCCTCCCGCCCGGACCCGTCGTTGGCCCGGCACGGCGCGCCCACCCCGGAATCCCCGCTCGCCGTCAGCACCGTCACGCCGCGGAGGCCCATGATGCCGAGCAGGCCGCACACCCGCCGCGCGTACGCCTCGGGCACGCTCTGCTCGTCTTCGGCGTACGAGTTGGAGATGACCTGCGGCAGGTCCTTGTCGGGCAGTCGGAACAGGTACTCGAGGAACTCGAGGTACGGCTCGTTGGTGTTGGCCTCGGGAGTGGGTATCCGCAGGTTCGGCACGAACGGCGGCCGCCCGCCCGTGATCCACTGCGTGATCGGCAGCTTGGTCTGGGTCACCGCCGCGAGCCACTGCACGTCCAGGTTCGCCTCGCTCGTCTTGCTCTTTTTGTGGACGCCCTCGTGGCTTTCCCCGCCATTGATCAGCACCGTCTTGAACGTTTTCTTCTTCGACGCCGGTGTACGGAACCCCTCCAGGCGCGTGAGGGAAAGGAACTTTGTCAGGTCCGCCTGCTGGGCCGCCTGCTCCAGAAAGCTGGTGAAGCTGACCCGGCTCCCCGATTTTGGATCAGGGATGTAGCCCTTGTAGTTGTAGGCCGTTTCTAGGCACGGCGGGGTAATGATCGTGGCACAATCCGGCGTCCTCGAATCCCAGCTCGGATGGTCACGAGCCTGGTCAGATTCGGTCTTGGTGTCCCGCTTGTTAAGGGGGGCGGGCTGTTCGGGCGAATTTTCCGTGATCCAGTCATTCACCCCGTCGCCCCGTGGAGGAGGTCTCATCCGACCAAAGTAGGTCGTGGGACTGACTAGATCCACATGCTCAACCAGCCTGTCCGGGATCGTGTACTCTCCCGTCCTCAACTTCGGCGTTCCATCTACGTCGAACCAGGAAAAGTTTGCTCCAAACAGCTGGTCTGCCGTCTCGACTGTAGTGGCTACGTTGATTGCCGCCGCCTGTGGGGTGATATGGAGGTTTCCAAACCCCGATTTGGTGAGCCAATCTATAACTTGGTCGAACGAGTCCTCCGTAGGTCGGAAGATCTCATGAACTTCAGCGTCCGACATGTATTGGCCGTATTTGGGGCTGAATGGATCCGAGACAGCCCGCAGGAACTTTTCGAGTTGATCCATGTTCTGCCGTTTCAGGCTGAGTTGGAGATTGATCCCATCCTCCGCCGCCGCCTTGCGTACGAGCTTGACGGATTCGGGAAGAGGGGCAGCGCGGATGACAACCGCTGCATCTGTGATGGTGAAGAACAGTGCAGCGGCCAAGACCGAGCCTGTCCATAGCGTTCGTCGGTACATCTCCTGTCGAGAGAGAACAGTTCACCTGTTCTACAAAGCAAGGTGGAAAGAAAAGAAGAAGAAAATAAATGCAAAGAACGAAATCAGTCCGAGAACATATTCGAGTTCGCGTGCCGCAGTAAGCGTCAAACTGGTTTCACTCTCGTACATCGTGGGGGGGATAGCGGAAAGTTTTATATTATCGGGAGTAGGAGAGTGAGTGTATACCGTCAGAGTTTGGATACGAGAGACAGAGATACTCCATCGTCGAAAGGCAGTCCATGGTGCGGAGTAGAAGTGGTTTTGTGGCTGAACTATCGTATATCAGAAACTCCAGCGTCCAGACGTTCACCCAGATAGCATCCGCGCGGGCTACTGAACGCTTACTCCATAAGAGCCGAAATCGTCTCGAATGGAAGAGAGCATAGAAAGGAGACTGATAAAAGTGCTCCCTTGGGCTTGAGATCCAGACTTTCTAATATCAGATGCTCCCCGGAGATGCTGAGGCACTAGACATATCGGCCTTGGTCTCTTTCGGGAACGAAAGCCTCCTGGGAGCGATCTGGGTCATCGTTGGGAAAGGTCATGACACCGACCCAGGCCGATGGTCGACTATGATAATAGTAGAGAGGAAGCACATGCCGGTGAGTGTGCCCATTCCATAGCATAGAAACTTACTGCTGATGTTCGTATTTCGATAATCTTGGTGATGGTCGTGATCGTGTTAATAAGTGTTGACTTCTGATGGTACACGTGTATATTATTGAATTAACGGGAGCGTGCTTACAGGGAGCGTTAATTCAGGAAATATATAATTATATTATCTATAAAAGAGAAAGGAAAAGGGGGCGGGTATACGTGTCCTAAATATATCTGCCACCTTCTAAGCGAGGATAGTGGGGTATCTCTAACTAATAGGAGAGCACTATACCGCGGCTTACGTGATAGAATATAATATACCCCCTAATTATTACGCTATGATTAGCGGAATGACTACTTAGCCTAACCTTAACCTAGCCTTATTTTTAACCTTAAAATAGCCTTGAAGGGTTATATAATTTCCTTGATATCGAGTTAAAAGGCAGGAATAAAAGCTGTAAAATAGTAAAGAATAATAATAACAGTAGTAAATAATAAAGGAAAAGTGCTATTAATAGTAGTAATAAATAGGTGATAATAGGGCCTTCCGTAGATAAATTAAAGGCGTTATACCGGCGTTTTAGAGCTTTTGGATCCTCCCTCTTATAACCTCTTATTCCGTTGTTTTTTAAGGATTTAACGATCTTAAACTAATTTTCCGAATTTTTCTATTAATAGCAATAAAAATAATAATAATAGCGATATAGTGAGTATAGGAGCTTTGTTTTTAGTGGCACGTGCTAACTAGTAGCGTTATTTAGGGTCCTCCTACTATCTCCGCGGTCACCCGTGCCGCTACAGCTAAGAAGGCCTTAACTAATAGCGGTAAGAAGAATAAGGGTAAGGGCGGCGGTAAAAAGGGTGCTTCTATAAATCGTTTTAGCGCGTTTATCTTTGATCCGTCTGCTCTGGTTCCGGCTAACCCTTTAATAGACTACTAAGGATAGTAATAATAATAGTAATAATGATACTAAAGAAGCCTTTATTCTAGTCCCTTTCGACCCCCCTTTCCTAGAATACGTAAAGGGTATTTATTCTAGTAAATAGCGCGTATTTAATCACTATATTACGGTTCTTAGCCGCTCTAACCGCTATTAAAAGTATAAGGATAGAAACTATATATACTACCCTTTATAAATTCTTACCCCTTATCTAAGGCATTTTACGATCGTGATCGTATACTTTATTTCGTATTAGCTTAAAGATATTTACGCTATTAAGCTTTACGACCGCTAACCTATACTTATAGTTATTCTGGCCTTATATCCTTAGTTAAAATTCTTTTTAACTATATTATAGTCCGTAAAATTAACAAGGACTCTAATAACGACGATAAAAAGGTGTTAAGAAGGATATATAGGTCTACCCCGAAGAGGTAAGGACTAAAGGGTGATAGGGAGTAATAGATAAGGATCGGAGTCTTATATAAGGGGAGGCTAACTATAGGTTAACTAGTGGTTAATAGGAAGAGTATCTTAAAGGTAGGTGGTAGTATAGAGGAGAGATAATCGCTAACCCCTTCCTTCTAGAATAGTCTAGCTCCCCGTCTTATATAATAAATATCCACTTATTAGTTAGCCGGTAGTCTACTACTATATTCTAGTACCTCCTAAGTCTTCCTTATATCCTATATCTAATAGGCTACCCTTTCCTGGAATAAGGCCTATCCTTAGGCTATAGCTAGTTACGGAGTATCCGTAGGGTAGGTGGTGATTATCGGGTAAGGCGAGTGGGTTAATAGTATTATCGGTGATACGTGGGTCGGAGCTTAAAGAAAATAAAGCCGTAGGTAATCCACCGTTAAGTAATAGTAGAGCTAAAGGCTTAAAATATATCCTAACCTTAAATAGTAGTATTAAAGGATATTTTTAGGGGAAGAGAATAAAGAGAAAATTCCTTACGAAGTATACTATTTTAGGTATATATAAGGGCGTGGAAAGAACTACTATAGGTAGCTAACCGTTAATCAGATATTACGACGGCTTCCGGTCCTCTATAGTATAGCGGACGATAGGGGACTAGCGTCGAGGTTTTAGTTTAAAATAAGAAGAGGATATTAACTAAAGAGCAGTAACTATCGTTCGTAGTGGTCTAGTCGTAGTTACGTTGTAAAGACTAGGCGTCTTCTTCACAAGGTAGGTTTAAGCGTAGAATAGTAGTCCAGGTGAAGACTTAGATTGATCGATGTCTTGTTCTCTAGTAGAAGTAAGACCTAGGACACTCTGGTTTATATAGACGAGTGTTAATAGTCCTAGCCACCCTCGTGATGACCGCGTAGTATGCGAGGTTACCGTGACTCTGCAGTATTTCCACGGGTTCAGTACTAATCCCTTAGGCTCAGTGCTGATCCTTTTCCTAGAGGCGTGAGCCTACCCTTTGACGTATACTAACGCCTTCCTCGTACCAGCACACGTGCGTTACCACGTGATCCTCTCTGAGTCATCCTTCCTTGACTATACCCTAGTACGCTGCCCGCCCTAGTATATTACATACCAGTGCATCCTTCACGCTGATGCATGTCAGGCCCGTTGGCCGCTGGCCGTAACATTAGATAGTGGTTTATAGAGGTTTATTATAAAAAATAAGTCTATAAGGAATATATCCTTATATAATAATAGGTATAAAATAAAATTTTAAAATAGCTATTTACCTACTATTAGATAGTAGTAGTATTATTAAACGGCTAATATCTGCCCGTTTATTAAACGCGTTCGTATTATTTATTCCGTAAATAGGGAAATACGTTACCGGTAATAAAGGCGTGCCTGCCCTTCTATATATAAATAGGAAAACGGTAGGCAGGATAAATAGGGCCTCCGTAATTATATAGAGGATCTTTTCGGCTATAAGCCTCTTTTCCTTTTCTTCTTCTTTTTTCTTTTTAGGTTCCCGAAGGAGGTTATAAGTATCCCCCCCGTTCCTCCCTTAAGAAGGCTATAGGTAGTATTACCGTGCTAGAACTAAAGCAGAGGAGGGGTAATCTGGTAAAGGGGTAACGGGTAGCTAACGTATATATAGTTTTTTTTTAGTATACTCTTATAATTTTTCTTTAGTATATATAGGTCTATTCTTCTGTTTAAATCTAAGTTTAAAGGAGAGTAATAGCTAGATAGCTGTTAGATAAAAACTAATATAGAATAGATTAATAGAGAAAATTTATAGTTATTATAGTTAGGTAAAGATTTATCGAGCGTTATAAGTGCGTCTAGAGTTATAGTAGAAATATAGGTAATAGCTGATTAGCTATAGGATAACTATACCTCCTAAGGGTAATCGTGGTAGCGGTACGGTAAAGACTCCTAAAAAACCTTATCCTAAGAAAAGTGGTACCGCCGGCGTTTAATAGGGGATTAGCGGTAAGGCGTCCGGTACCTAGGGTACGGATATAGAGAATAATAATACGTCGGCGCTTATAAGTCTAATTAGTGGAGAAATAGGTAGTAGTTAGTAGTAAACTAGTAATAAAGTTAGTAATAGAAATAAAAATAGTACTAGTAATTCGAATAATAATTCTATAGCTAGAAATAATAGGACGGTTAAGTTAGGTAATAATAGACTAGCTAGTATATCCTGTGATACGCCCCGGGTTCTACTAGGAACACTAGGGCATACCATGGGGTACCCTAGCGGTTCTATAGTATAAGCCATAGCACCCACGGGGTACGCTATAGGTACCTTTAGGGTACACTATGGCTTCCCTAGGATATACTATAGCTTTCCTGGGGTATAATTAGTGAATACCGGGGAATCCCCCGGGTTCCTGTACGTAAAAGCCGAGGATTCCACGGGGTTTACCCGTGGATACTTAAGTCCCGGGGGCGCACCCCCTTAGCTTAGATAAGATACCTTTATTATACCTCTTTTACTATAGTAAAGATTACCCTTTAAATCCTGGGTTCCCTAGGTCCGATAGTAGTAGCTAGCTAGAGTCGTGCCCAGATAAGACATATTAAATCCTAGATCCGTCTAAGTCCTATAATACTAGCTAGCCAGAGTTATACCCAGATAGGGTATATTAAATAGTAATAACTAATACTTTTAGGTAAGGTTCGTATACCGCCGCCCGGTATAACCTATAAGGACCGCGCCTATACGGACTATATAGGCTTACTAATAAACCCGTTAACGCGTTAGGCGATAACGCCTCCCCTTTACTAGGTTTAGGTGTGGAGTATATAAGGAATCCATGGTCGTTAGCTACGGTGCAGGAAAAACGCCCGTACTAACCTATACTAAGGCAGTTACTATAGATCCTAAGCTCCGATACTATAACTAATATAAACCTTCTTAACGATTATCCTCCCCTCCCGTGAAATATAAGGGGAGCCTAACCTCTCCTAAAGTTTAATAAGGATTACCCGTACCTCACGGAAAACGTTCTC